TGGGGGGGGGGAGTTTTGTATCACTGCTGCTGTGATGACTCTGCGAGGCAGGGAGAAAAAGACAGCAGGAGACCTGACGGTGTCAAAACACATTATTATAGTCTCTGCACGGAAAGCAGCAACTGGACCAGACCTCACAGAGAGAAAAGACTGAGGGAGCAGAGAGGCAAAAGAGAAGGAGTCAAGGACAGAGGAAAAGAGAAGAGGACAGCATTGATTGAAAGCAAAGAAATCCTTGAAATGTTCAGTGTTTTTGTAAACTAGACCTGGGAATCTGCTCTGATCTCCTGCACGATGGCTTACTCTTTCCGTTGGACTCCTCCGAATGTTTCCGAACTTCTTCTACGGAGGTCCAAACAAATGAAGTTAGAGTGAGTCCCCCTGGATGGCAATAATGGAAAAGAGAAGTGGTCATCTCTGTCGATTATTACCTCAATACCCTGTACAACCGTCATCATTGTGTTTTGTTTTGTTCACACCTCTTTCTCATGTATCTCATGTTTGTGGCTGCTTGTATTAAAAACACGATGACATCATCTGCTCTGGGTTTGAAACAGGCCATTCATTAGTATCTATATATTGCTTACTACAGTAAATGCTCCATATTTCCCAGTTTAGTAGATGTCCGTATGGCTTTGAAACTCTTTCAACTGTCAGTATGCATTGCCATTATACCCCCTCACCCTCATTCCTCACCCCCCACCACCACCCCGTGGCCTGGATCTGCAAAGTATGGTTCAGTCCAGCACCATGTGCTCACAGATAAGCTCAGCAAGGGCGATAACCAGCACTGTACACTGATCCTCAGGGACAAATCCCAGAGCACATCCTGGGGACTTGTAATCAGGTGGGCCACACGCTGTCCTCTCGACATGCACTTAACACTCCACATCACACTCCACATTCAGCACACTCCTCAGCCTTGCATTGCTGCTGCCGGTGAGCTCACCTCCAAACCATCATTCACACCCATCTACATCCCGGAAACACCTCCTCTACCACCAGCCTGATGCCTCCACAGCAGGCGGTTGTAAATTAGCTGCCTGTGGAGTGGATAGACTAGAAGCAACAGGAGTAGACGACAGAGAGAGGTCATCCAATCTCTGGGACAGATCTCACACACCGTGACCCCTGAGTCTTATGGAGGCAGGGATGATTATGTCCACCTGGACCTGGTTCCACAAGACTGAATTACAATCATCAACACCACAGACTCCAATGTAGAAAACAGGGAAAACCGGTGCCCTTCCTGCTGTATTTTCCCAGAGATCTGTGACTCCAAGCATCATTTGCACACATAAACTACTGTTGTAGCAGATTGTGCTCTGGATTTAGTGAACATGGCACTCAACAAATCCAATTAGCTTAGTTAGGGGCGACTTCAGCCCTTGTTTGAAATTAAAAGCAAGGCATAAATTATGAATAATGTCACTGTGATGTTCGACACCAAACTGAACAATAGGGCAGTTTTCCAAATGCCAAATTCACATTGACACAGGGCATATGCTCAGAGTGAGTCTAATGAGGGTGTATTCTTGTTTGGTCCCCGTTATTGTATTGTTGATTGCTTCCCCTGGTGCCCAACTGAGAGAAAAATGCCCCCTTTATGATTCCCCGTGTTTGCATATCTAATTAATAGTATAGATAGTGCTGTGGTGACCTTTCAATTGGCAAAAACAAACCTCTGGTCCGTGATAGCAGGATGCGGGGCCTCTGAGAGCAGCCAGCTGGCCCCTGTTTGAAAGCCCATTGCCCAGGCAAATAGGTCAGTGCCGCTGGGCCACAATCTCTGCAAGTGAATGGAAACCGAAGTCCTGGTCTGATCTGTCGTCAACCAACAGTAAGTGTCCCGGCCAGCGGTCAGCGGGTCGGCCCATTTGACAAGAGCTATAAGGAGGGGATGAAGTGAGGGAGGGCGGAGGGAGAGCTGGAGGACAAGAGCCGAGTTGTGTCGCAAGCGCTGATTATGCGTGCTGTGGGGCTTGTTTCCTGGATGTTGTGTTTGTGTTGGAGCGGGTGGATCCAGGCAGATGTTGCAAATGAACGAGGTGCTGTTGTGTGTTGTGGTGAAAATCATCCCGGACAGCATCTGATTGGTGTTTGAAGAGGAAATGTTTCCAAAAGATAAAAAGCATCCTCACACTTTTTATATATATCTATTATTGTGTAATTTGCTTTCCAGTAATTCTTATTAGTTGCTCAGAGCCGGCAGCCAGCTTTGTGTAAAGCCGACCCAAGTGTTACCATCACACTTGACTGCTTCTGAAGACTACATGATCTGTCACCGTGGGGGAAAAAACTGTCGGCTTTGCTCTTGCTCACTTGTGCAGCAGAAAAGAGGTTTGTTTGTTGTTGTTTTTGCTTTCTCTAGGTCGTCAGTGTGTGTGGCACTGACACAATCAGCCTCCAGCTGTGCCCACTGTCCACACACACCATCCATCTGACAGTGGAAGCACACAAACACTGCTTCAACAAACATGAGATGACCTTTTGACTTTCGAATAAAAAGACACCTACATACACAATCGGACACCTGCAAACACAACTAAGCACGCACTCATCCACACACAAAAGGTAAAAGGCTGTGGAATGATATACAGCCATGGTCATGTTTGATCATGAGGCTTTGACAGAGTTCATGGCTGTATTGTTGAACAGAGGTAGAGAGAACAATTAGGGGGTTGGTGACAAGAGCCCTGCTGTAAATGCTCTTTGTGGCACAAAAGATATCATCTTAATGAGAGAGGGAGTGTATAGACTATATATTGTATTCTTATTTTATTGCCATGGGTTCATACAGGCTACTTTAATGAGGGGAATTATAGTCTAACCCCCTTTATTGGTGTGTAGATTCATAATGTAATAGTGTGACATAAAGCAAGTACTGAAGAAAATGCGAAAAGAATGCTTTATTAAGTTTTAAGTATTTCAAATCCGTTTTTCAAACTAATAAATAGCTCTTACACGCAAAATTGCAGTGATTTACAGAACATGACGCAGAAAAGCAACTTGCATTCAAACACTAAGAGTTGCATCATTGCGCAACACAGAGACGAGTTGCCGAGCGGGGACACATCAGTTCAAATCCTCCCTCCTTTCGCTCCCTCTGACTGGTCGGTGCCTGTGTCAGTCAATGGGAGGGGTGCACCGCTAATTTCTATATGCCTGTATGACAATTTAAGAGCCAGATTGCGTTCTCGTGCGTCGCTGTTCAGCAGCAGCAAGCCTCACTGGACGTCATCAACCTCGGTCCTGGATTTGTTACTCAGATGAGACGCTCGAGACGTGCGTCTACCTGCCTATACACTGAACCTTTGGACATCGCTGCCACTTAAAGCGCATCCGCACACTTCAGTCTCGTGGTCTTTTTTGCTTCTGAAGTGAGCTGCGGTGTGTTAAGTCAGCGCGCCCGAGGGAAGGCACATCACAAAAAAACTTTAAGGAAGACTTTTGCAACTTTGTAGTGTGCATCGCCGTGAGTTCATGTGGTTGGTCATCTGACAGAAGCGGACTATTTCTCTGGGGGAACTTAATTGAAAGCTTTTATTTTTTATTTTTAAAAACATGTTCAGCAAGTGCTCCGTTGTGTTATTGAATGTCCTTTTTCTGGTGCGGGCGCTCTCGGCTCACGAGTGCACGCCGTGTAATCTCCGCACTTGTCCCGTCAAAGCGCTACACAGCTGCGAGGGTGGCCGGACCCCGGCCAGGGATCCGTGCGGATGCTGTGACCAGTGTGCCCGGCTGGAGTGGGAAACCTGCGGCGGACAGGACTGGGCGCACGGCTACTGCGCCTTGGGGCTGACCTGCGCCTCTGTTAACAAAACAGGAGCAGCCGCAATCCCTGAAACTGGAGTATGTAAAGGTGGGTAGAGTCTTTTTTTTAATGAAATCACAGTCAATTAATTTGGTAGGCAACCCCCCCTCCTTTATTAAGCGGCTTGAAGGCATCACTATTCAAATGTCAGTTAAATCCTGACTGCAGTGACTGTCAGTGTTTACCTCGTCTCTGGCTGCCTGGAGCAGCTCCCCAGGTCTGAGGGGCTCTTGACTGCCATGAGAGGAGTCATGTTCAACTGCTCTTTCTTTTCCTCCTCAAAGCTTCATTCACTCTCTGCTCACAGCCACGACAATACGTTTGGAAGCTGATTTGGCACCAGGTTACACTTCAGCTTCAGTAGGCTCTGTTCTCTTTTGCTTTACAGCTCAAAAGAGGCATGCATTAAAAAGAAGGCAGTGAATTGAAATATGCCAAAAAATATTGTTTGAATGAGTGTGAATTATGGATTACCCATTGCGTTTTTGAACATGGACATTTAATAATAAGCTGCCCCTTTCTTGTCTGTGTTGATTACCATCAGCACCATTGCTAAAGTCTCCTGCAGATTTTCATTCGCAATCTTGTGAATCTCCAGTGTTGTGCTGATCTGTTTTTTTGCCAATCCAAACTTGTGGATGTGCTCATTTTATGCACAATTGTGAGCAGCTTTCTGAACATCAAAGTCATGTGTAGGGTGTCAGGTTCCTCACAGTGAATGCAGTAAGTAGCAATGGCCTTCCCCTGAGGAACAAATAACCCACCCACCCACTCAGCCCCTCCACCTGCACATTGTCCAGCCTGTTTGTGGATGATTGAAATGGACTGACGGGACTGTAGGAGAGAGTCGACAGCTCTCAGTGGGTGTCTGGATGGCCTGACCTTGCCCTCGCACCATCCCTCTGTGGGGAGGTCCAAGTCAGGGCTCCAGGAGGGTCTTCCGGGGGTCCCAAGCCCAAGGCCATCCCAGGAGACGCAGCTGCTGATTGTGCCTCGTGCACAGGTTCGGCTGGCGCCTGGAGGACAGCTCCTCGGCAAATGAACAGCTTTGGAGCGAGTGGCAGACCTAATGGCTCCTCTGATTGAGTGGTGCCTCTTTTGTTCCTCTGGCCTCGGAGCACGCTGCTGACCCCTAAATCAGACACACGCACACACACAATCTCAATATCCTAGAGGGTCTATAGGTGGGGGCAAATCAACACCTCCCGGTGTGTTTTCAGAGGCCACAGTAGGCAGGCTGCTGGAGGCTGATCCCAGATTTCCCTCTTCAAGCTGCAAGGGTCTTAAATTGATTAGACTCGCAATCAGGAGTAAGGGGTAAATGTTTCCGCTTTCTGATCCCCTGCTTTTCTGCTCACAGTTTTGATTTTCTGGGTGGTCGGAATCTGTTATTGTGGAGACGCAGCAACCTGTGACAGGTGACATATTGCATATTATATAAGGAGTGCACCGTGGTAATGCATCATCACCAAGTCTTTTAACTTTTATTGTTGATAAGATTGGAACAACTTGTTGGAATAGCTATCATGATGAACTTTTCAGGGCTCCTGTGGTCAAGGTTGAAACTGCAATAGTCATTGAGCATGTGCTTTCCAGACCTGGAAATATAATGTAAGATACTGGTATCTAAAAAAGAATAGGAAATGGGCTGGAGATAAACTGTTCACTGTTGAAGCATTCAAATCCAGGTGCTGCTGCCATTTATTAAGGTATAATAACCAAAAAGAATCTCTTGAAACGGTTGTAGCTTTCCATAAATAATACCTGTGATATTTAAATCAGGTATTCTCATGAGGGAATTTGGCTCTTGAACAGTGAAGAAGTGAATCGGATGTTGCAGCAGGTTGTAGGTTGAGTCTCTCAGGAGTCTTGTGAGTACTCAGGCACCTGCTCTGGGGCAAAGTCATCGGGGCCTGTCACCTTCTCATATTTGCTTCAGCGATCCGGCTGTCAGCGAGGTGAAATCGCTCAGCCTTTAAAGCTAAATTATTTGTTTTGATGCTCTCATTATATTCTCATTGTCTGTCCTCCCAAGCAACTTTCCACCAGCTCCAGAGGCACTTAACATACCACGTAACAGAATGTCTATCTTACATGGACGCAATGTCCACTCGCATGCCTTCTATTTCTCCCTTCCTCTGGTATTATCTAATGTTTCAAAGACTTCCTTTTTAGCTCACTATCAGCCAGAGGGCCTCTAGAGGTCAGCTTTCTCATCCTGGCCCTGGATGCCAAGACAAGCCGTCTCAGTGGCTGAGAGAGGAATCCCCCTGGGATGAAGCTATAGACCTTGGCTAGAGTCGTGCCAGGCCAGATAATAGATAGCACGGCCAGACCAGATCAGGGTCAGGCCAAAGGGGGGCTAGGCTGAGGCAGACCAACTTAGAACAAGCTGTGCTGACAGGGGTAAAGCACAAAATTAGTTAATGAGACAATGTCTTTAGTGTTCAGCCTTTCATTCATTGTTTTGACTTCCACCTAATTTTCCACATGCCAGATTTAGCACTCCACACAGACAGGCAACCATGCCACCACCACCTCAAATAAAAATACCCTCCCAGGCACAGGAAAGCCTCTGGATGGAAAAAAATGTGGAGCTGAGGATCATTTTAAGGTGAAAGGAAATCACAGGGAAGGTTTTGGTGTGGTTTGTTCAAAAGGCCGCTTGTGTCTCGCTGGCTGTCTGGGAGAGCTATTAACAGCACAGGCTGGCTAAAGGTGTTACCTTTACTATAGTGCTTGTGAGCATCACCATGGAGTCCTGCACACAGCCAACCTCAACTTGGGGAAAGAGTTTGCTTTCTTCTACAGTCACATTGATTCACTTCCACTGTGAGATATAGTCCAGAAAGAGTCCCACTTTTTCTTATAGTGAAACATCTATTTTAAATGAATAGGGATAAACATGTGTGTTGTATTATAATTTCCAGTATTTGAAAAGCAAAGCCAAGGAATTCCATTTGTTTTCAGTCACTTTGAGTCGTCGTGTTATTGTTTCTCTGAATCCTAACAGAGTGAAACTGATTTTCATTTTAAGAGGCTTTATTTCAGGTAGGACTACCACAGTAGTCCGATAAACATACCATGAGGTGCTAGCGTTTGCATTGGATAGTTAAACCTTTTCACCGGACCGTTTTCTCTGTTGGCGGTGTGTAGAGAAGAAAGCCAGAGTATTATGATAAGCTCCGATCGCGCTTCCACTCTGTTGATTGAGGCCTGGGAGCTAAATGCCTGGCAAGGGGTTACTCGGGGTTACAGTTTGTCTCATCCTGTTTACTCTGCTTCCACTCTTAGTGGGATTGGGCAACTGTGAAGGAGGGTAATTTTGGGGTGCAAATATGCGTTTCGTCATGGGAAAGGAACACTATGGGCGATGTGTATGTTAAGACGCATTACTCTCTCGGATATTCCTATGGTGACGTTTGGTCCAAGTTGGGCAAAGCCTCAAGGGGGCATCTCGCTAGGCGAAGGAAGAATAAGTTGTGCGAGTGGCGTTGATACAGAAGAGGCGTTCCAGCGGCCAGCAGAGATGGAAACCCTGGGAGGGCCCCATGCTGTGGAACAAAAGCAAACAAATGGGCTCAATGGCTGAAGTAGTGTGGCACGACGAGGAGGGAGGAGGGACGGCAGCCCAGAAATACACTAGTCACTTCAGTAATGGTGGTGCCAGGGCAATGTGTTGCAACCGAAGCTGTAAGCTGGCTAACCCTTTCGCACTTTCGGGAAAACAAATCTTGGTTCTTGGCACATTTTAGCTTGCGATTACGCTTTATCTGTAACTCTGCCCAATGTCTCTTTATTCCCAGTGAAAAAGGACAAACCCCAGTCCAAGTGAGAAGTTCATGATCTTCCCCTACCCTAATGTCCTCTGTTCTCCGCCTCGCAGCGCTCCCTAAGCATCCAGAGGCAGGCCTGGAGGACGAGCGCTGTCCCCTGATGACAGGCTGCGAAAGAGCCGGAGGTCAGTGTGTGTGCGATGCCCGTCACTCTTGCTTGGGCTCTTTCCACTACCCGGACCAGGAAACGTGCATGAAGGCCAGCAAGTCAGGTGAGCCCTGTCCTCCCATCACACACACACACACACACACACATGTTGGAAACACTAATGCATGCACATACACGCACAGAACCTGAGTCAGAGGGGATAATACTGTCCATTGAGAAGAGCTAATCCGTAGCAGATGTGGCTCTGAGGTGACTAATGCTACTTGCATATCATAGTGATGACACACATGCTAAGGCTATGTGTAGTGTTCCCCCACTCACCCTTGTGTGGTGCCATTGTCTGTGACTCATTGATGACTGTGGTTTGTGTGTGTGTGTGTGTGTGTGTGTGTGTGTCCACGGCGGGATTTCAGAGGGTCGAAGGCACGAGCACCGGGAAAGACACAGAGAGAAGTATGTGGGACCATCCAACCCGGCCTGCATGTTCTCTGGGTGTAACCTGACCACCGAGGGCTGTGTGTGTGAGTCCCAGAGCTGCCATCACCACTTCGCCTACATCAACCGCAGCCAGTGCCAGGAAGCTGCAGGTAACCTTCACATGACCTCCAACTAGAACTGACAAAGCACACAGCAGCCAACCAGTAGCTTCCCTTCGCTCATTTAGTGTCGAAATGTGCGGATTATACCCGAGTCTTAACGTTTCTGCAACTACATTGTTACTTTTCAACAGGATTGTATCATTCATAACCCATGCTAAGTATAAACATTGATATATCAATGTATGCTACAGCTTTGCCCCTCTCTTGTACAAATCACCACTCTGAGTGGAACATAGAATTCCTTGTCTCAGTCCATTATGTGTGACAGGAAGCATATTGCCGGCGACCAATGGAAACCTTGTGACTCTAAATGGGGTTAACTTTCATATAAGGCAAAGGGTTCCTGTAAAGATCAAGAGCTTAAGACTTTGTGTGTGATTGTACAAATGTATCTACCTGAATATTTACATTGAGTCACCGGGAAAGCTTAACAGGCACATAGCATAAAGTACTGCATTTTGCACCTCATGACACCATGCACAGTGGGGAAAGTAAAGGGGGAGGAGGTTTAGGGAGAGAAAGAGGCCGATGGAATGAAAAGAAAACAAGAAGGAAAGACAGAAGGTGTGAATCTGACTGACAGAGTGGCATAACCAGGTCAGATGGATGCTTGGAAGAGAATCCCTTGAATGATGTGTGAGAATACAAGAATGCGTGTTCAGCTCCACTCTTAGCACCTTCCGTGATTGACACTTCCGAGTGAAAAACGGTATTGGCACTGAGAGTTTAGCGTCCTCATTTGGACTGTGAGGTGTCTGGGGGCGTAAAGTGGCGGCTACCTCCTGACTGACACTTGCAAAATGGGACAGGTCTGCCACTGAGTGAACTCGCTGAACCTCTGTGTATGTTGGGTAAACTTCATCTTACTGAACAAGCAGGAAACTGGAAAACCTTCTTGAATCCTGAAGAAAAGTGGCCCGCGGCTGTAGTGAACAGATTAAGTCTGAAGCCTGCGACTGTCACTGTTCTTTATCTTCATGTTGCTCCCCTTTGAAATTTACTGAGATTTCAGACTAAGAACGGCTATTAAGATAGACAAAACGGTGTCTGGCCACGTGCCATGGTAGCATATTTGAGATTATTTCGTCTGCAAATATCTTCCACAGCGTCTACACTAGAGCTGTGAGGATGTTCTCGATCAGTACATCCCACAGGAAGTGTGTTCATCAAACATGATATTGTTCAGACGTAGGATAATTGAAGTCTAGTGTTACGGTGAAAGATATACTGCTCGTTCTCTGTTTTGTAACTCCTTCATCTACAAAGCCGACGGTGACAGTTTAAACTCACGCCAGCGAAAACTGTAAACAACATTTTTCAGCGGCTTATGAGTTCTCACTGCAACACTCTCGCCCTTCTGATGGCCCCTCATTAAGTAAGAGACCAGGATGTGTGTGTCTGTTGTGTCTGCAAGTATGCATGTGGAAAAGATGCACACACGTGGTTATATATAATCACGTGTGTGTTCGTGCCGTCTGTGTGTGATAATTATCTTGTTTGTCTGGATGTTCCCGGCAGAGATTTCCCCCTCCGTCTGTCACCAGCATGAGCATCCTCTGCGACCAGACCGGGACTCTGTGGTTAGGATCTTATTCGCTCAGTCCTGCTGGACTCCGTGGAGACTGCATCCATCAACCACTCATTGTCTTTAGACACAAGCAGTTATCAAGAAGTGTTAGCATGCGCTGCGAGTGTGTGACAGCAAATGCATCCTCTAAACCTGCTCCCAGGGCATGAAAGCTCCACTAACCGACCAGACCTTGTGTCCCAACATCAGTCGGAGCCATAGATCCTCCTCTCCAGTGAGCTCACACATGGAAATGGTTTGACCATTCACGTTCTCTCTGACTCACTCAGCGGTCTTGTTAGTTCACCCCTCCCCTGTGACACAGTCTGATCTGTTAAAACTCAACATTTTCTCTGCCTCACCACTGTTGGTGTTCAATCTCCTAATGTTGCCTCGTGTTGTTTCAGCGGGATCCTGTTCTCTACCGGTATTCAAGACACTGATGTAATTTGGCTGCAAACGTTAAATCAGACGCAACGGACGTAATACCCACATGTCGGGGAAGGAGGATGTGATAAGTATAAGCGAGGGAGGGGGAAGGCAGACGCAGAAAGATAAGAAAACACAAGTAAGGCCGACCATTTTGTTGAGGTATTTGTGTCAAGTACAGGCCCCAGGGTCTTGGTAGGGTGGTGTTTGGTCATTTTACACTCTAGGAGTGTTTACATATTTCATTTATGATAAGGCTCCTAACTGTTATTTTAGAGGAATTCCCCTGCTGTTGCTCACAGACGGAAAAAAAGCTGCGTCATTTTGGAAGTGTTTAGGTGATTCATACAACTGGCATCACTTAATACTAACATTTGCTCAGAAATAGTGACCGTTGAAAACCCAAGCAATGCAGAAGCAGTCAGGTTGTCTGCTTACTAGCTCTTGTGGACTGATAGTGGGGATAGAACAGAGTAAACTATGTCCCTCACAGGAACATGGAAGTTCACGAGCGGGTTCATCAGACGTGGGAAGCGGTGCCCGCTATGATCGCATGGCACAAACTGAGCTTGCTTCCACAAATCTTCCCACCTTTGCCCCCTCCGTTCCTGCCCCTCTCTGCCCTTGTGAAGGAACCGTTAGTTCTGCTCGGCTGCAGCCTCTTTGTGGCAGAGCTATTACTGGCCGAGCCAGACCGCCGCCGGCTGGCAGGGGCGCGAGACGTCTCAGCGCTGTGTGTGTTTGTGTGCCGTCTGCGGAAGCCGTGGCCCCCTTTTGTACCCTGCAAGCTCCTCGTTTCCCAGTGTGTGCCTGTTTGTATGTATGTGTGTGTGGGTAGTGATTTCAAAGGGGAAACAAAAGTCTTGTGTGGCGAATGAGACAAAGAACTTCCCTTAATGGCATGTTGGGATTGCTGTCTACCCGCTCACTACTCGTGGTCTGCGGTTAAACCAAACCAGCCAGCATTAGGCCAGCGGTAAAAGCCAAGACAGACACACACACACGCACACAATGTCTCAGACCATTCCTGCATGTCCAGCTCTATCCCTCACTCCATTCGCTAAATCTTGACCTGAAACCCCAGACCCATTCCAACTGCTGCTTAAGTCCCCTCCTTTAGTTCCCAAGCATATTTCATCCATCATCCGCCATTCTTTTCCCCTGAAAGGGAACAAATCCATACATCCAAATCCAGACGTAACTCAACTGCCACACAATGTATTCAACACCCCAAGTCTCTCGAGTTATGTTTTGAACTATAGTGTTGCCGGAGTGACAGTACATGTGACAGCTATTCAATTATTGTCTCCACTGTGTTTCCCACAGGATTTAGTTAGACTATGGCGGGGGGGTCTCGGACCCTCTATGAGGGTCCAGGGGAAGGCGCCCCCGGAAAACGATTTTGTACATTTTACAGTTAAATGCATCAATCTGGTGCACTTTGAGAGCAAAATTAAGAGGCTAGATCTATAAAGAACTTTGCTCTCCTGTAAACTACTTTGTGCTCTTGCTTTAGCAATGGTGGAGTGTAACTAAGTACATTTAGGCTACTCAAGTACTGTACTTGTCCACTGCATCTCAGAAGAAAATATTGTACTTTTAACTTTACTGCATTTATTTGACAATATTAGTTACTAGTTACTTTGGTAGAGATGAACACATGAATGCATCAATAATTAAATTTCCAATGATATAGGCCTACTGTGAATATGTTATTTGAAATTGACCATTCTGCATAATAGTACTTGTAATTTTGGTACTTGAAGTATATTTTGATGCCAATACTTTTGCTTCAAACTGAGTATTTTTACACTGTGTTAAATAATTTAATCATGAAAACATTGCTTGTATAAATATGAATGGTGACGACACAGCAAAAAGTCACGCTCACAGAGCATGATAAACGAGACGTGGCCAATGTTTTAAGGCGGGTTGCCGACATCACCCAGATCGCGCACTGCGGACAGTCTGTCCTTCCCCGCAGGAGGACGGCACAGCGAGCAGTAAGTTCATGGTCCCTGAATGTGTCACAGTCCGGGCTAAGGGGTGCTGTAAAGCCCACACGGCTGAAGTCCTGATCCACTTTCACTTTCGGTGCCAGACAAGAGCCAGTAGAGGAAATGCACACGAAGAGAGCCAGCCAGCCCACCCGTTGAGAATTGTAAACATATTTTCAATTCACAATGAAACTATGGCGGCGTAAAATAGACTATGGCGGGCCGCCACAGTCTTAAGTACTTAACGGGAAACACTGTGCCCAGTGCTTTATGTTCAGTAACCTGGAGTGTGTTCACCCATTCCATAAGCATTTTGTGCCTGACGTAACAATTAACCATGCCTAGTGTTGATCACTAAGGAACTCGCCCTTTAGCACGATAGAAGTCCCTCACGCTCTCGGTCATTGTCCTAATCTTATTGGCCATCTGACGGCAAGGAAAGGGTGTGTTTCAATGGAATGCACACATGCTATGTACACTTGCTGTGCACACACACACAACACACATGAAGAATCTATGTGCAAATGTGCACCTACATGTGGACATACTCATTACCTCACCCAAACATGCTCATTCACAGCTGCCAGCGGTGTTACTCAGGACACAGATCACGGTTTTCATCTGCAAATATTTAGCCAAAGAGCGAGAGAGCGAGGCGTGCAGGCAGCAGATGCAGGCCTGCTGGCTGCTGCGTGCCTTCGCCCGTCTACCTCAAGCTTCTGACCATGGTGTGAAGTTCCAACAAAGTATTTCGGCCTGGTGACCCTTGTCGGTGCCTTTTGGCCCTCCCCCCTCCCCCCAGGACTGCTCCACGGACCTCACACATATACTCACACGTGCTAATACACACTGTGAACAATGCCGACTTTCTCAGCTGCAACTGCTGTGGGCACCGGGCCACAGCTTTACGTGAGAGACGGCCCTGATGTGTCCCTTTTGCGGAGCAACTTTATAAAACCTGAGGACAGACCAGAAACCCACGGAGGGCAGCTGGACTGAGACAGCTTTGTTCTCCGCTGACTTGCTTCCAAAGTCAGTCAGTGAACAGAACTCACATTGTGCGCATTTTCCATGAGTAAACTCAGGCTGTCAACACAGCCTCTTCTGCACGGCGGAGCCGCTCTGGTTCAAGGAAAGACTGCGCTCCTTGTACCCGGGCTTGGAGAGAAGAAAAACCCATTTAGATAGGAGGTGTTTTTCTTTATTCAATCAGCTGCTGAGATGCCAGAAATGTGCATTGTTCTGTGGTAATTAAGCAATTTCCGTATCCCACCTCTTGCAGATTTGTCTGTCTGTCTGTGTGACTGTTGATTGTTGCAGGTTGTGCATTGAGGTCAAAAGTTTTCCTTTCTTTGCTATACCACAGTTGTTGAAGAGCACATATTCCCTAATCTGCAGAGAGATTTTTCAAGCATACCAAATCAGGCCTTTTGTGTTTGTGCAAGCTGGAGTATGGCCACCATTGTGATACAAGATTGGTTCTGTGGTTGCTGACTCTCTAATTACAACCATTTATGCTCAGAGATAGAACACAAACAGCACAGGATAAAATCCATTTGCTGCTGACTTTTCCCATCCTCTCTGTTTGCCTATTGTGCCAGCTAGAAAATTATATTAATTGGACCTGCAATGGCTGGACCATTTCCACGGATGGATACAATTCTATTCATTTGAATGACAATGGTATGTCTGCCTGCTGCTTTTCCCAGCGCACTCTAACCCCAGTCATTATCACAACTGAAAGAGTAATCAGCCTTCTCTGGGACACATACAACACACAGAAAGTGTTTGTCAGAGCAGAACGTTGTAGAAGATCGTCTCAGGGCATTTTCTTTGGCTTCAACCGATGTAAGGTTTTCATATGCAAAACCAGTCTTCAACTGAGCAGCAACAGACTTCGTTAGACTTTATTGGAAGTAAAACACTCACCAATCAGCGCTTCCAACTGAAGTTTATTTAACTCCATCTTAGGAATTAGGCCAAAACCAGTTAAAAGGGTTGTAGCCTCCCTTAATTCAGGGGTTTTCCCTTCATTTTCTATGAGACTATTCAGCTACAAAGTTTATCAATGAGAGCTTTGTGGCGGTCCTCACTGTTCCCAGGTTGCTTGAGTAAACAGTACAGTACAGATACTTCACACTCCTGCTCTATTTATCTGGAGCCAGAAAAATTCAACGTTTCCCTTATCCTCAATTTCATCTGTCAGAAATGTTACCCCCACCCATCAAAATACAGCAGTCACAGTCATGCAGCCCCTTTCCTCCATGTTTATTCTAGGTCAGGTAGGCATCAAACGGGTACTCAACCGAAATGTCGGCAGAGCATCAGGTCTTAAAGAGCTGGAATGGTTGATAATATACAGTATGAATTAGAGGTCTGGCTCTGGAGTTGAGGACTGGCTGAGCAGAATCATTATCAGGGAATCAGTAGTCTGGACCCCGACCTGCTCACCGGTTCAGTTTCCCACATCTTGTGGCAAAACCCAGAGGGATCCATTTACAGGTCTTCAAATGTCAGGGATGAGGTACATCCTCTGAGAGACTCATGTTGCACTGTGGAGCCAGGGCCAGTCTGGGAAGACCATCAAGAAAACTCTGCTTCAGGGTAAACACTACCGAAACCCCAAGCGCTGTTATGCAACCTCAGTCTATATCAGTCTCTCTCCTCAAAAAGGAGAGTATGCAAAGATTGTCAAGTATTCCCCATAACCAAGTCATAACTAACTTTCTAATAAGGCAGCTATTTGTTGACACATTCTCTCCTTTAAATGTCAGTGATGATTGAAACTAGATAACCAGAATTTCCTCTTTCTCATCCATCATTTCTGCAGGAGTTAATGCTGCTATTCCACTCTCACTCTCAGCTGTCAAAGTGCGACCAAGTGTGTATTTACTGTGTTTTCAGCAGGAGATCTGGGAAATTGCTCAGTGATTGACAACTACAGGACGTGAATCTGCCCTCCCCAGTCCTTCTCTTCTGCCTGCACTGTATACATTACAGTGTCACTGAGAACCAAAATAAACACATCCCTTTGGTTTGGGTAATTCAATCTTTGTAAGGTAGCTACTGTTCTCATACAATGGCTGTACAGAGGGGCGCTCCACTTTTATTTTCCTGAACAGGCTCCAAAACACACCCCTGAGCCCCTTGCCCAGATTGCCAGTACCCCTGCACCTCTTTCCCCTTTAACAAGGGGTATCAGAGCCATTATGTTGGCTCTGGCAAATGAAAAGACAACACATCCTGGTATGCTAAGTGAAGGGGAGATTCTAAACTGGCAAGAAGAACAGCTCTGTTGAAGGTTGGCTGGTATTAATGGCTGGTTTTAGAGCGTGAGAGGCTGTTTGGATTGTGAGCCTGTCTGGGTGGGATCAGATGCCCGTAGACAGGATATGCACAGAGCCTTGTCGTGTCTAGAGCGCCGCTCTCACTTCTCTGACAGGATGCTGCGAAGCTGTCACGGGCTGAAGTGGGGATCTGATGACTGTGCACGGTTTGTGTTGGGGGACTGTGTGAACTCAGCCTTTAAACCATAACACGAGTAGCGCTGTTCTAAAGGGTGCTCAACTGACACTACAAGAAGCCCTCACACACACACATGCGCACACATGTGCAAGCACAGAAAAAACCCCTCCCTCCTCTTGGAGAACAGTGCAGGGACTGTCAGAGCCTTCAGCAGGAAGACAAACTAAGCCATGTTCCTTTTGCTATGCTGTATGCAACATACCCACCTGTATCCTAACGTGCATCCATTACTGTGTGTTTCAGAGGAGCTGAGGTGTGCCGGGGTGATGTGTCCTGCTCTGTCAGTGCCCTCCTGCCCTAAGGGTTCAGTCCTGACCAAGAGTTACACGCCCCCTGCTGGTTGCTGCCCCTCCATACTGCCCCAGTGCACTTGCGACCTCCGTGCCTGCCACAAGCTCCAGTGCCCGAGCGGACAGCGCGCCGTGCCGCTCCGCCAGGCCAGCGGCCAGCCAGGAGACTGCTGTGATGTCTTCGAGTGCCAGAAAGGTGATTGCACTGAACTGCACACTACACAATCTGCTCTGATTGGTCTCCCACTGGGGGTAGCAATGGCACAGTCGGTGTGAGATTCATCGCCTTTGAGGAAGCAATTACTTTCCTAAGAGTAAGGCTTTCCTCCCTGCTGACCTAATGTCGACAGATGAAAAGCAAAGTTGCTGATTGGATAATTACCATTGGGCTGTTTATCAGGCTGGGCCGCTGCCTGCCAGGTTTAAGACCATAGTTCAAAGACATTTTTGCAGGGGTGTATCCACAATATTTATATTGCCTGAAGGGATATGAAATATAATGGATCTTTTAAAGCAAACTACTGGTCTGAAGTAGACTCTTGTACCATTTTCTCACCTGGTGAGAAAGAGACAGGAAATGCAGAAGAGAGGCGAGTGAGGGCAGATTTGGAGCACAAATAGAGAGACCTCAGCGCTCTCTGACGTGGCCCAGAGGCAGCCAGGAGAGTCAGGAAGGCAGGGAGGGGACCTGTGGTATTGGTCTGTTTACTCTGCGCGCCCAACAAATATTCGCTGTTTTACCAACAGAACAAATTCCCATTCTGGCCCCTCCACATGCATAAATGAGTGCCGTGTCCCGGAATTAATGGACTTAACGAGTCCAGTGACCAGAAAAGTGCTTAGGCTACGAATTTGCTCAACAGAAGTGCTGTGTCAAAGGGTTCCTGTCTGGTCACACGTCCAAAGGGAAAAGGTTCAACAGTTCATTGATGGGAATGCTTTTTATGTGCTCCAGTCTGCCAGTGGGGAGAGTAATCGAGTCCGGCAGGCCAGCGGGGGCTGAATGGCAGCCGTGGGGGCCATGGGATCAGTGTTTTGATAACAAGTGTCTGCTGCTCTTTGCGCCTGGGGCTTGATGCCTTTTGTGCTGCCCCTACCGTCTGTTAGGCCTGCATGACTGCGCGCCGTGTCAGAAAGCTGCACAGACCGGGACATGGCCAAGGACACAAACTGGGCCCCATAGTCATCGCCCACGTCCTGCATTGGCCCCCAAAGCACTGGCTACAAATACTGTATCTTATGCATATTAACTCAGAGTTGCTGGTAAATACCATACATATTCTCTAATGGAACACCCTTTAACACGACCCCCATTGTCTTTCCGCTCAGGCTTGGACTGATTAACTTGTTTCCATTGCCCACTTGGCCGACGATAGACTCCTTCCACTGTTGGCTGTGTCTGAGTGGCAGAGCAAACCTGGCAGCACCGTCCTGACCTGATGTCATCCGATGTTACAGATGATCCTGTTTGGTTCTGTTTAGCCGTTGCCTGCCGTTTATCAACACTTAGCTGGCAAATATTCTGCATATGTCCCCAGTAGTGATCCCTGGACGCAGAGTAGGTTCAGGACTGCACATGTTCTTTTGAGATTTACGCCGGTGTTGAGCAATAAGGCTGAGATCACCACACTAAGGTTCTCAGGGGGCTCAGCTTGAGTTCGTTTTAAACACGCAACAGCTATGTCCTCAGACATTGATGAGTGGTTGTTTTGGTGACATAAGTTAAACTTGTATTTCTACATTGTCATTTGATAGTCTTGGCTGATCAAAAGTATCACTACGATACTGATGTTAATAAATCCCATCATTATTCTTCTCTGGGAAAAGTCATGTTTCCCAATGTGGTTTTGCTTCATTCGGCTGTAAATCACGAGACGCGCCTGTATGACAGTCTGTTGTAAATGATTTAGACGAGCTTAGGGTCCATGTTTTATAGCCCATCTATCTCCATATCCAATCTTCACCTCAAATTAGAGAACACTGAACATCACAAAGCATGACTGGAATTTAGACTCTCTGCCGCAAGTTGTTTTAGGGATTACCATTAACAAACACTGCGGAAATCACATGTGAGCGTCCCATCATGTGACTTCCTCTTGCTTCTGTGAGCTTTACAAAACCGTTGCCGTGCCTTTTGATTTAGGGCAGCTGAAGTGCTTATTGCATTTTCTCTGCTTGGTTTTGCTGCACGCAAAGCAGGACTGCAGGAATACTGAGAGAGAAAGAGGGAAAGGCAGAAAGAATGAAACAGAAAGAAAGAGAATAAATGATCAACAAATTTCCCTGCTCCACTTTAAACTTAGTTGGCCCACCTGCTTTGAATCAGAGTGCAGTGCTGGTTGTCGGGAGACGTGGGGGTCATCATTATAGACTCTATAAGTCTGCGCTCAAAGGTATGGCGTACAGATGCCGCCGTAACCTCCGCCTCTCATTAATAGAAACTGCTGGCCCCACATCTGCCTGCATCTGTGCAATGCATTTACTCGCCTAACTAGTGTAGCTACTCCTCTGAGTCTGGAGACTTTCTTACATAACCACATTGCCTCACTCCCCTAATGTTGGAGTGGGTTTGATGAAAAGTTGCTGTGTGGTTTGTCAAGATCTTAGAATGTTGAGTCACCCCAACCACTGCGGTTCATTTGACTGCATAATCTAGTATTACCGTTGAGATGTCATGCCGTAATGTTGCTGCTCTGGCTACAACACTCCCACCATTTGTTTTGAATAATTAAGCATGTCATTTTCATTATGTGGAAATAACAACTTAGGATGTTATTATAGATATTATGCATACAGACATGTGCATATTCAGCCTTAGAGGGCCAAGTGTGCAATGAACTCGTCAAGGTTTTCCTGTAAGTGTTCTGGTCTTTGCTGGGCCTGTTTGTACGCAAGACCAGACCTTGGTTTTGCAACAGTGCTGTAACTAAGCTCATTTTATGTCATAGTAAAGGGACCACAGCGGAACAAGGTTCTAAGTGCTTGGATGCTTTTTGGGAAAGGCAAGCCAGAGCATTGATTCACTCCACCTGCCACCAGCACACTGAGCCCAGATTCTGCCAAATCCTCGGACCCACTACTGTTTTCTTTTACTCGCCACTGCATGAGTTCGAAGCCTTTTCAAGACTAGATAGATCCCTGTGAAATTCCTCCTCATGGACTTGGCTTGCCTCATTGTCTGAAAAAATGCCATTCCACCCCACAGGCTTAAGCCATCAGTGTCTGCCTCAGCACCATTTGGTTCAGATAAACATTTCCATCAATAGCAGAAAATGAATGGATGTGTTTATGCCTTTTTAATTGATTGTATACAGTCGTGATAGCCTCTCACTGATCAAGCTTGACATTTGTGATTAAAAACTGCATTGTTCTGACATAAAGTCATGAGGACAAAATCCTAGTGTTAATCTTTGCACAAATGCACAGATGGACATGTGACAGGACACAATGTCCTGTGGTTCAACTGCAGAGTGTGTGGTACATGATCACACCCACATGGTTCTCAGTTAAAGGTTGTCAGCGGCTGTCTGATTCCTCTTTTCCTTGTTCTTCTCTTCAGTCTCTCCCAAGTGTGTCCACAATGGGAAGGAGTTTTCTGAGGGACAGGTGTATCGCATGGACCCCTGCTGGCTGTGTCAGTGCCGGGGAGGAATCTCCTTCTGCTCCAAGGCAGAGTGCGCTGAGCTGAACTGTGAAAACTTCTACATTCCTGAGGGCGAGTGTTGCCCTGTCTGCATAGGTACACACGTTTATATATATTTTGTTAAGATGTGGCAACCTAATTCTTCACTTTGCAAAACGTTACACTATTGAAATTGGGATATTGTGATTGAAGCTTTCGAGGTTTAAGCTACGGTTGATGTGGCACAGACGAGAAGGCCTGTGTGGCCAGCTGGCAGGGTGGAAAGCTGGTGCAGGAGAGGTAGAGGTGATATCACAATTCACCATGCCCAACACCTACGACCAGTGACCCTACTTTAATGGCTTCCTCATATAACCAGTTTCCACAGTTGTTAACATACCTGGCAAACAAGACGCACACTAAAGAGCCAACCAGGGATTAATTTCCGCTGAGGAGACTAAAGAACATACAAACTCTTTCAGAGTGTACAGTTTGGCTTTGTAATATTGGATTCTGGCTTAATGGAGGGGAGAGGATCCAATCGGAAAACACATGTGTTCAAAGCCAGGTAGGGTGCTCTGATATGCGCACTTGTTAAAAAACAGGGTTGCAACGCATATGGCAACCACATTACAGTCTGCCAGAAGCCAGTGGATGGAGACGGTAGCCAGTTTCGGCCTCTGCCCGCTTTGGCTATAGTTGTTTGGCAGCATGAGAGTGAGGGAGGAACACGAAGAGCAAGACAGCAGAGGAGATGTTAGGGCAGTGTTGGAGGTACACCTGGAATATGTATGCATTTAGATGGTATTGAATGCTTTCATCTTCTACTCATGGAGAGCTGCTTTTACTTACTGCATGGTTCTCTGTGGAGAACATTGCCTGTAATCTGGATTAAGAGATGTATTCAAGGCTACCTGCTTGAGTTTATATTTAAAAGATGTACTAATCAATATTTCTAACAGTAAATCAAATGACTATTTGAAATACCTATCGATGACAAACCCACAGAGAATTATCACTGGACACTTTGATGTCTTCAATTTAATGTTTTTACAGCTTTACTGTTTTGGTTCATTCTTAGCACTCTCAAAGGCAACGGCAGACTTGTCAAAAAAGCATGAGTAGACCTTATAAAGGTGCACACAAAAAACGACAATATCCAACACTCTTTTTTTCTTTTCTTTTTTTTTTTTTTTTCCCATGAGTCCCCCAGCTAAGTAAAATGATAAAATCCTGAAGCAACCCTTTAAAGTTTCATAATAAGGGTCATAGTACAGCGACGATCAAGAAAAATGGATCCTGTCCATGTTAATCACTGCCAGCTGGGATCAGATAGGGCAAATAGGACCCCCTGTGCACAATACACAGCACCGTTTCTCCCTCTGACACACATTCAGTAAGCCGCACCAAACTCATAAACACACCGAAATATGAACATATTTTAGTTTCACGCTGACACACAGAGAAAATGCTGAGACCTCTAACCTTCCTCCGTTACCAATAAACAGTGTAACAAAAACAATTAAAACGGTTTACAGTAAATTTAAAAAAAGGCTTCCAGAGTTGGGCTCAGGCATCACACACCACCTCAAGCTGAGCAGAATGGCCTCACAGATTGGCTTTGAAACTGTCCCAAACTAATCCCCACGGATCTAAAAATGTAGCTCCCTCAATACAAAGTGCTTTCTTTTGCTTCGGACTATTAAACACCTTCGACCTGAGGGGGTCACGGCTGAAACTCACATGGAGGAGTTCAAGCTTTCAGTCAAAAGGTGAGCGGACATTGTGGGGACCAGCAGTTATGAACGTCATCACGCTTGCTGTTTTTACAATGATCAAATCTCTCTCAGGACGACACGGCATTACCATAAAACATGTCTCATTTCAATTTAAATCCCTTTGTATGTTGTCGCAAAGCCAGGGGCCTCTCCCCACTTGTAAATGTAGATAAAACATCTAAATTCAACAGCTCTTGGTGACAAGCCAGTTTCCATATCTTCTTAGCTCCCTCATGGAATATCCTGCTTCCTTCAGCTCTGCTCTCACTCGGTCTCCTGTTAATTCAACTACAGTCGAGGATGTAGGTTAATTGGACTGTAGCTTGGGTTTAAATTCAAGTCATAGCCAAACCAAACTATACATGTGACTTTGCTGAGAATCAGATCAAAGATTCACTTCCTCGCCCAACAATTAGGGTTATCGATTTAATGTCGATATATTGCCCCAGCCATACCCACAATGTGTCTTTCTGTCCTCACAGATGTGGAGTTACTGTCGATGGACAGCACAAAGGCCAGTTGCTGGGTGAATAACAAGCTGCGGCCCCACGAGGAGCAGTGGAAAGAGGACGACTGCACCTTCTGCCAGTGTGTGGATGGAGAACCACACTGCACAGCCATGGCCTGCAAACAGAGCTGCCAATACCCTGTGAAGATCCCCGGAGAGTGCTGTCCCTTCTGTGAAGGTAGAGCATTGTGTTGGCCTTTTATATTAAATCACATCTAACGTATAGCTCACAGCTATGAGGCGCACATTATCCCACAAACCACATATGTTGGAGGCTCCTGTGGCCCCGCAGCTTTGCTACAGAGGCCGTGTCGGCATGGGCTCATTAAAGAGGAGGCCACAGAGCATTCTTTAAGCTGCAGGGTTCTTTGTGTTCCTTTATTACCCCTGCCCTCCAAAATGAGACCCACCTGTGTGTGTGAGCCTGCGCCGTGCTTATAACTCAGTAGGCTGGATAATTGGAGTGGATCCTTTTTTTTTTTTTTTTTTGTGAGCGTAATTAGTTACAGCTCGTTGGGCTGCTCCTCCCACTGAACGTGGCAACAGACGTTTGACGGGAATGGCTATGGTGCTATGTCTGTGTGTTCCAAACTGGCCTCGCTCAGTGTGGCTTCACAATGAAGCTGGCCCTGATTCAAGAGGGGTCCGGGCTGTCGAACTCTATACCAGGGGGGACACTCTATTGTCCTCACTGGTAGTCCTCGAGCTAAAGCAGGCTTTTCAGACACGTTCAACTTATTAATGGGAGACAGTTCCAAGCAATAAGACGGAGAGGTAGAACCCCCGTTACAGTGCTACCCACCCTGGTGTAATTGCTCTACATTTATCTGTAATCACTGTTTAGTCCAAAATAAGAGCAGTGTAAATAGGTAGCTATTACAGTTGGCACAAAAAGCATCGATGAGGAAGAACACCTGAGGGGATATATAGCACACATATATATAAAAAAAAAAAAAAGAGAGAGAGAAAGTCATAAAAGAAATCACAGCTTGTTTTTTATACTGTTGTTCTCATGCAAAGTTCTTACCTCTCCATCATCTCTTTTGTTCTCTAGAGCCTTCTTATGAAACAGTTAGCCCCCTGGTATGCCCTCCCCTGGAAAACTGCTCCCTGTCAGGGAATGACTGCCCCTACGGCTTTCAACCAGACATAAATGGATGTCTGCTCTGCCAGTGCCTCAACAGTAAGTTCACTTTCCTCGCTTTACGTTGAACCTTAAAGTTCCAGGGAGTGACTTGCAGTAGCATGAAGATCATACATCTCTTCTGACACGCTGCTTCTTGTATTATAATGGTGGACATACAGCGCTGCATTTACCCGTTGGCTCATGCTGATATCGACACAATTTGCCAACCTACTTGGTTTAGACAGCAACAAAGACATGTGCATATTCATGACAGTTTATTTGCATACATTGGCTACAGTCTTTATATGGTTCTCAGTCACGAGAATGTTCCTGTGAGGAGCCCCATAGACACTCATGCCTTTGCCTTTGATGGATTGTTGTGCCCCTGGTCAGATGACCTCTCCCTCAACTCTTTCAGATGACTCCTGCCCTGACCTGGGAAAATACTGTTCCCTCCAATGCCCAGTGGGATACAAGACAGATGATTTCGGCTGTGAGGTGTGTGAATGCAGCACTCCCGTGTCCAAGTGCCGCCCCTTGACCTGCACTAAGACCTGCCCCTATGGATATGTGTAAGTATGCCCTGTCACCCTGTGGCTTTCTCATTTCTCCCACCATCTCTCATCCATGTTTTCAACATGTTCAAAGGCATCCGCAGATGTGGAAAGAGCACAAATATATTGTACTCATGTCACGTATTGTTACTTTAAATAGATTACTTTTCATACAACATATATTTCAGCAAAGGAGGGACTGCACAGTTTTTTTTAGCATTTTACTATGAACGAAGTGGTTGTTTTCATCAGGAGAGTTTAGCAGTGTAGTGTGGTACTCACCTGTCTGAACGGCACCGCGAAGTCCTCCACAGTCTGCTGCTCCAGGTTCAACTTCTCCACTCGTTCATTCTCAACGCGTAATAGAAGCAGTCCAATCGGCCTCTCTGGTCCCACAGAGCTCCTCAGATTCAAAACGTTGTGAGATGAATGAGACTCCATCATCACATCAGAGATTAACAGTCTCAAACAGCAGAAGGTCCTCACACACCTCACTGAACGTAAATGTTCCTCAGTGAACACAGAAGTCACTGCTGGAGGATCCGCAGGAGCACATTAGCATTTAGCATGTTAGCCAGACCCAGCGTGCCCAGAGCGTGGCCCTACTGTAGGTCACGAACATCGGGGGTTTGTCATGTAGCGAGCTGGCTGGGTGTGGTGCATTGAATCAGTCATTTATTAAGATGGATGCAGTATTTTTTTGTAACCATGCCAAGGTATAATAACATGCAAATTGATCAGGAAATATACACTTTGGTTTAACATTCTCATGAAACAGAAAAATCTAAGCAGATAGTGATGTTTGGAAATTCTGTTATGTTGGTGAGATGTGATCAGTTTCATAGCGTACAATGCAAGGGAAAATGGTTGCACCTTAAAATCTGTTTTTGGCTATACCATTAACCTCCTGTATTCAAATTGGTATGGTTGGATTACAAGTTTAATACTTATATTATCAAGTGATGGCCAGAGGTCCGTGCCTGTTTGGTCCTGGTCTAAAGGAAGTGGAACAGGCTATTGCAGCAATAGTTTGGCATCCAAGATCAAAGGGCCTACCTTGGTGGCAAAGCCCAGGTCTCTAAATCTGTGTGCATGTTTGTGTGTGAGTAATTCACTGTGAGGTCCTCACCAGCCTCTCAGCCCCTTGCAACGCATCTCCTCCTAATCCCATTTTACCCAATCAAACATCTGGAAGTGCTCTCTACCGGCACGCTCGGTCTCCAGGCTCCACTCTCATTTCATAAATCACCGCGCCGTGTCAAAACAACGATCAAAAAACGCATCAGGACAAAAGCAGCCTTCATGAAACGTATGCAGTTTCTTTCGGGTACCTCAGCCCTGCTCTGCGGAGCCAAAGCTCGAGATGGGCCCGATATGCCTGTGTGGGATACCAGAGGAGGGGATAGAAGAGAGGATGAGGGGGGCCCTGTGGGGAAAAGAAGAGCAGGAAGTAGTGGCTTTATCCTTCATAAGCAGCTGTTTTGGTCTAGCCTCAGAAGTCTGAAATCCTCTAAGAGCTTGCCAGCCTTACAATGCAGATCTGTCTTCTCACACAGGACCTCTGCATGCAGCCACCACAAGGAAACAAAAGGCACAAAGGCTCTCTGTGTTTATATTGGTTGTATTGATGACATCCTGTGTGTACTGTAATGTACATATTCAACACTGAAGTTGCAATGTAACCATGTACTGAGCACTGCGCTCTGGTGTTAACAGTCCAGGTGAAGAACACTCTCAGTGCAGTTTCTACGGCTGAAGTTGTGTTTTCCGTCCATCATAGCTCAAAAAAATCATCCCTGTGACCTCTCGGGTCGTGAATGGCATTCTTCTGGTCAACACAGTTGCTGCACACTGGAAATTGTGCCGAGCCAGCAGTGCCAGGGCCCCGGGGGCCCCCAGCGCCTCCCCGAGCCCCTCCATCCCTCTGGAGCCCAAAGCGCTGCTTGGCATTCCACACACCATCTTTAAACAAAGCCTTGCTCTAAGGTCGCAGCACTCTCTGTCTCTGTATTTGTACAGTGAGGCACTGGCCGAGCCCTCACAATGTTGTTTCAATAGCTGTTATTGCTGTTTCAGCATAGATAGGGTCCACTGTGTGCTGAGCCTGAGATGCTCTGTCCTCTTTGTGGGACACAGCACCGTCCGTGGGTTTCGAGGGCTTCTTTTATTTATGCTGCCCTGGCAGATTAAGATTAATAGAGTCATTACCTAGCCCTAGTGAGGCCATGGCTTCATAATAATGGGTATCATCACTTACCGCGAGGGAGGGAGGCTGAATGAGACAGGGAGGGATGGAGAAGGTTCCCAGGACGAGAGACGTCTACATACAGGTCATTCTTTCATCTGGGTTTTTCCACTAGTATCAACCCCGCAGCTCATCACAACTTTTATACACAATGCTCCTATGTGAGGATATCCCTTGTTGCTTTGCTCTGACAACTTGACTCAAGTCTCCTTTCTGCTCAGTTTAGTTAAAGACAACAAGACAACAGCTCATGCCTGACCACCAGAAGGCCCTATCTCTCCCTCTCTTACTGTCCCTTTCTGTACTCCCCCATCAACACGCCCCCATTAGCTCTTGTCTGATCACTGTTCTTAGTGGCTCTAGTACGTCCGCCAAAGGCTCTTGGAGCAATAAGGATGGCAACAGAGTGAATTGAAAGCATCTGAATTGGCTTTAGATTGCTCCTTCCAAAGTCGTTGGGTTGGTATGATGTCCAAACCACAGGGATGTCACGTGTTGGTCTTTTATTAGGCCTTCTTCAAAGGCGGCTAATATAGAGAGGGGAAAGCAGGTCCAGATGTTGATTATAGTACCAGACTTGAGCATCTGGGTTTCCCTCAATTACAACACCACGATGCTCCCCGGGCCTCTGTTCATCTCGGAGATATCCTCAATGGGAAAGCCAGTTTTAAACTATTCGAGCTGCACGGGAGTGTCTTTTTCTTTTACTTCCTGTCACGTGCTTCAAGTAATTTCGTTTTTTTTTACGTGTGTGCTTCATCATTTCTTTGCTCTACAGGAGGAACAAGCATGGCTGTGAGATGTGTCGCTGTATCAAGTGTCCTCCCTTCACCTGTGACAAGCACTGCAACGACGGCTATAGACAGAACAGGAAGGGCTGCTCCATCTGCATGTGTAAAGGTAACTGATTGAATAGTTCTAACCGAATAAAACCTCAATAGCAATAATGTGAGAATGGTTTGGGGATGATTGCTGATGCTATCACAAGATATTGGGATTGATTATTCCTGACAATTTTGCTTACTGTGGATATTCATGATCCTCAGAGGACGAACCGTGCCGGTTTGGAAATATTGACCTTCCGTTGGTCACCAGTCTCAGGCCAAAGTTTTCAATCAAACATAACAAATCTCAATATAAAAAAAGGGAGACTTCCCTAACCGATATATACCAATACATCACCTCTACTTTCAATTGATCATAGCTACATCTTAAGAGTTATATATATATTCTGATACATAACTACAGTTCGTACGGGGCGTTACGATGGACTGAGAGGAGAGCTCTGTTAGCACGTTGAATTCCTGCCTCTAAGCTGCAGCTTTGATTTCCTGTGACCTTCTGGTGCTCTTCTGAAGAGACTTTTATGTGTGCTTGATTTGATTCTTGTTGGTGTTTAGCTTCAGCCAGGGACTGTGTGTGCAACTCTAATTAGATTCCTTTCCCAGTTTAAAGCAAGTTTGCAGATGCCATATTTATGCTGCGCCACATTTTAAGAGATGTGTTTATGTAGCCAGTTTAGCTGTATTATAAATATTTCAGCTTCAAATATACCTGAGGTTTTCCTATGGTGAGTTGAACAGTGCAGCTGGCACCTCATCTCCACAAATAGAGGGACGCCACACAGACTAACGCCTATAAACTGCTGCTTACCTGATTTTGAATCTCTCGTACCAGTCTCTGTCCGTGGACTGTTGAAATATTTAAGGAAAAGAAACTTTTTCTGGAAGCAATTTTTTTATCGTGTGTTTTAGAAAGATTTAAATAGAAGAGACGAGAAACATCTGCCTGGACTCTGCAACGCTATTTAGTTCACTGTGTTTGTTCCAAAACCCAGTGGAGTCCTACAAACGTTGAGAGCCGTGCTGAGTTCAGCACATGTTGTTGCCAGTTGCCGGGCCCCTTCATTAGCTCAGTGTGTCCCTCAGCTACAACCTATTAGTTTTTGTTTGTCAGTTGACAAAAATTGTTCAAGCTTTATTTGTGGCTGGATTGAAAATGGATTATTGTGACATAAATAGGCAATAAAGGAAGATCAAATATTCCAGACTCGGGCTTGTTCTGGTATATGGAACCACAACCACTTAGCTCTCAATTTAGCCTCGAATGAAATTGGACATAATACAATAATACTGGCACATTTGACTGTAAATCATAAATGTACTTAATGAAATTCCACAGTGCATTTATAGGATACCTTGCCATAGCAGGCTATGTTGTTTTGTTGAAGTTTCGCACAGCTGTTTCACATTCCTCAGTCACCCCAGTAATGTCTGAACCTTTCTTGTTTCTGTCTTTAGAAAGTGGCCGCGTCCCAAGCACCACTGCCCCTGCCCCGATTCCCCGCTACTGCCTCACCTCCAACGGGCACCGATACGAGGAAGGCGACGGCTGGCACGACGGTTGTCGTGACTGCTACTGCCACTCCGGACGGGAGATGTGCGTGCTCATATCCTGCCCCGTGCCCAGCTGTTCTCATCCAGTTGTGAGGCCTGACCAGTGTTGTCCTACCTGTGAGGGTAAGTCTCTGCAACTCAAATGTGACTTTATTTTAGATCCAGTTTTAAAAAGTTTTTTGCCAGTTTTAAATTACATCCAGTCTGAAGACAATGTCCGGTTCTTATTTTAGTTTGGGGCATTATTCCTGTTGGTAAAAAGCTAAAACAATTGTAGTCATCAAGTTAATTCTCGTGATCTGGAAATGTCATCGCTCAGAAGAATAAAACATAACACAGTGAGACGGCTTCCTTCATTTGGAAAAGGCACGTTCTACCACTGGTGTAAGTTCAGATTCACTGTTTCATGTGCATTCTTATTCATTCTCATAAAGCCCTCAACATCAAGGTCACCGCTCCATGTGTTGACATACAATGTTTTAACAATTTTTTTATCTCCACCAAGGAGGTTATGATATCGGTTTGCTTTGTTTGTCTAAATTGTACTGTCGCAATTTTGCCAGATTCCCAAGGAAGAACCCACACATTCTGATTCTGAATCACAGGGTACACAGATTACTTTTCACTTTCGTTAACATTGCGAGATAGTGCTTGGCCTTGGGGGAGGTCTGCTCTCTCAGAGTCCCCTTCAATTTGACACTCAATTACTTGTTAGAAATTAGTTGTAATTAATACATGTCTGTTTGTACTGTTTGGACACACACACACATGCGCATATCTGGCAATACATAGTATACAGTCCTCTATCAGCTCACTCAACAGAGAGCTTTGGATCATTAGCTAGCTTTTAGGCCTTAGACTTGCAGGCTACTTAAACTCTCTGACACACAGTCTCTGTCTGTTTCTCTAAAAAGGGAAGGCACACTGATCCACACCCACACTTTTTTTTTTTTTATCCACAACCCTCCAACTCATTCGGGATATTTATGGAGGAGTGACTCAGTTGGCTGTTCAAATATTTAGGAGTGAAAGAATGTCTACAACTTTCAGGAGCTACACACACTTTGCAGTCAGGGGACAAACAGGCTAACTCTTTGCAGATGTCTGCTACTCTGCTGGACAGAAAGATGTTTTTAACTAAACCAGTGTCAAAAACACAACTTGGACACCACCCAAAAACTGCCCGAGGCTTCTTTTTAATGGCTAGTGGTCTTCCATGCATCTTTATTCTAATAACCTATGACTCCGTTTACTCTCTCGAGATTGTACTTCATCCTGTAGGAGTTATTGCTATGAATGAATTTTTGTTTGGTCCGGACTAGACTGTGAATTTGAAATGGCACACACATGACTGTTTCCTTTATTTTCCTCCCTCCTCTTTCTACTGTAGATGAGTCAGGCAGCGGTCAGCTAGAGGGGATGGACATGGTGGTGTGCAGAGCACCTGGGGGTGAATTCTATGTGGAGGGAGAAACCTGGAACCTGGACGAGTGCACACGGTGCACCTGCAGGAAGGGACGTGTCCTGTGCGACACCGAAGTGTGTCCCCCGGCTCTCTGCCAGACACCGATCAGGAACAAGGACACCTGTTGTCACGTATGCCCAGGTAACAGAAAGAGAAAAGGCTACAGGAAGAGCAGTGGTAATTTCAGATAAAAACTCAGTGGGCATCACAAGTTACAAGGGTAGTGGGTGGGGAAGTATAAATCTGTTTTGGATGTGCTATCAGCATGTGGTTTTGGAAGGTCTTACATGTTGCACTCTGTCGAGCAGTTTAATGTCAGGCACACGGTCTCATAAAGAAACCAGCCAAGACCGGTTGGATTTACATAGTGCTCCTCCAGGCAGGCTGCAGCACACGTGGACGACTTTCACCCAGTGGTCCACAGCGGAGGTTCAACCAACTCTCTTATAGCTGGAAGGACGAGAATGTAACTGATATCACTGAATCTCTGCTATTCCTCCGGTTATGGGAATAAACTTTGACACAAACGTCTCGGCGACCGCAAAACCACACACATGTTTTATTTACGACTGTACCCAAACACTCAAGCCTCTTCTCATACACTTAGTATCAACATATCCCAAGTACTCCCGAGCAAGAGGCCCAAAAATCAGCAACGCATGACTGCGCCTGAGAGCTGCTCCTTGAGAATGCCGGGCCCGCCTTATCTCCCTGCATCTCCCTTCACAAAAGCAGATTGTCAGAGGCCAGCCTTTGATATATGCATGGGCCCGGTCACCAGGAATGTGGGAATAATACACATCTCACTGACAGGCGCTGTGATGCATGTATACAGTAGGGTAGTGCAGTGTGTACACGCTATCTAAAGTCTTTGGTCGTGAGAAGGCCATAGATCTCAGGCCCGCGAGGGGTCTGACGAGAGGGAGAGATAAGGCCTTCGACTAAAGTGACTTCTGGCATATGGAGGGACTTGTGTCTGTGTTTAACATACAGTAAAGCATCTTATCTCGAACGTAACCCCCAATAACTTTAGTGGATTGAGATGTTTTACAGCTGGGATAAATGCAGGAGTCATGCTGAAGCAGGCCACTAAAGAAGCAGATATATATAACTCAGACAAAATGAGGGGTTTTCTTTGAAAATGGCAATTCTCTAAAAGCTAAACTTAGGCTATAACCTTACATTGCCAACTCCTATTAAGTGGAGGAAATAGACTGTAACACGACGTAGCACACACAGCCCTGTGTCTTATCTTAACCTTTGTGTGTGTTTCATTATTAACCCGTTTCATGCCTGTGTGCAACCACAGAGGAGACGCTGAGCCCCTTGCTGCCAGTGAACAACAGCCAGCAGGAGTACTGCATAACCAGCGATGGAGACGTGCTGCTGTCTGGGGACTCCTGGAAGGCCAACGCCTGCACCAGCTGCACCTGCAACAACGGCACCATTCAGTGTTTCTCTCAGCGCTGTCTGGCTGCCAACTGCAGGGTGCCCGTCTTACGCAAGGGCCAGTGCTGCCCACACTGTCTCGGTGAGTATGTAGGTGCGCCTCCTTAAAGAGAAAGAGGCCTTTATAAGTATTTGTGTCAAAGATGCCACTTTGTGTATTTTTTGTATTACATTCAAAATAAACTTTGAGTTTATATGTAGTTTATGTAACACTTCCACAAACTTGAGAACAAGAACAGTCAAAGTTGTGCAAAACTGCCATCCCTTTTTTATAACAAGTGGTACCACTGGAACAAGGCACAGCCTGTTGTTGGGAAAGTTATAGTCCATAACGCTACATGTCAAAAAGAGGGCGTCACTGAGGGAATGCCAGCTGCCAGACTGAATGTGTACGCGTTTGCTCGTTAGACGCAGCCACTCTGGCGCTACATGGGCAAACACCCGTCATTGGCAACAACATTCCATGCGACGTACACACACGGTCCGCTCGGAGCAAAAACATTCCTCGAGCATCCGCACATTCACACGTGTTTCCTGTCCCCGGGTAAGGCGGCCCGCAACGCACTCTCTGCGGCGGCACAGGAAGGCAAAGCTCCATGCCAGCTTTTCCTATAGAGGAAAACCCTCAGCATAGGCTCCCATTGTTCACCCCGATATGTTGCCGTTTTCTGGCCTTTGTTTTTGTTGTTTGCCCCGTGGACAACAGAGCTTTTGACGTAATTGCCTTTACAAATCTGTACAGTTGAAGTTAAGTGGACGGTGCCTGTGAACAAACAGAGACACGGGGTTTCATACACTAACTCACGGTTGGCAGGTTGATGTCTGGAATGTTTTGCATCACACCAGCGATATTGGTAACAGATCTTACCCCTGTTTGAACAGAAATTACAACGCCGGTGACGGTGTCTACCAACGCCCCCAAGACAACAGCTGCCATTACAGTGAAGAGTGCGGTGTGGATCACCACTGTCACTGTACCGCCCATCACTGCTGATACAGGTACCTGCTCATTGAACCCCTCCACACACACTAGTAGTAACCCCATCCTAGTCATTGGTGTCATTGTGTGAACTCTCCCTGCCGATCCCTGCAAATGTTGATACTTGTAAAGAGTGTTGGGGATAGCTGAAAGTTAGCCTAACTCATGCTGAACTAAAACAATGATTAATGGACAAACACTAGGAATAAACTGTTTTCCATTTAGATCTGCTAAATGGGGTGGGCACCATAATGAAAAAGCTCTCTGGGGGGGGACTGATATCTGATATCAGTGTTGTCTGTGTCCCACAGATGAGCGAGGTTTGGGTGAGAATTACCCCAGCCAAACGGAGATGGCCGTCATCTACCAATCAGCCGCCTGGATCCTGGCAGGTCTCCTCCTGGCCATCATCATCTTCATCGCTGTGGCGTTACTCATCAACAAGAAAAAGAAGTGGGTGCAGATGTCCTGCTACAGTGCACCAAAGAAGGTGAGAAGTTACTCCATAAATTACATGAATCTGTTTGTTGGTTCTGAAGGCTTGAAACTAGGATACATTAGACAGACTCCCTCATATAAATAACGTGGACAGTGTAAACCTGTGGATGGACCACAGGGAGTTGTCAACTCTACCATGACATGAGGTTGTGGTGTCAGAAAATGATCAGAAGCCATCTCGTGCGAGCTGACATTAATTCGTAAGCTTTCGTCACCAACCAGCTATGGAGACTTGAATTACGGCGTCAGTCTAACAACAAGGTATTGTGCTCTTTCTCCTGTTCCTGCTTAGACGGTGATCCTAAAGAAGCACGTCAACAAGAACTCAGTGGTCTACATGGAGCCCTCCAAGGAGAACAAATTTCAGAATGTGAAGAACGAGTGCGGCATCATCCATTTCTCTCCAGGAATGAGCTCCTCGTGTGCGGACAAGATGACCATCCCCAGGGCCAAGCTGAGCATGGGCAACAACTGGACGGCGCGCTAAAGAAAGAAAAAAAAAACGCAGCTCAGACTCTGCAGATCAGAGCTGTCCGCCACCTCCCACTCTCTCTTACTGCTGTATCCATGGTGACTGGTGCACACACACACACACCTTGGACGTCGCTGCCTTGTTCCCACCCTTCTTGTCTGTGTGAACCTGAGGATGCTCTGCAAGAGACAAAGCATGCGACTTCCATTTCTTTTAATACATGTCCATATTCTTTCTTTTTGGTGGAGCGAGACGATGGGAGGTGTACGGACGGGTGGACATATAAAGGACACAGCCACTCCGTTGCTCTGCTTTAAAATATAGAGGGAGGCAGCCAAAGAGGCTCCTCTGTATGAATCAGAATTTGACTGTGAACATTGTAATATTATTGCTTGTCATAGCCTCCTTTGAAACTGGAACTTTGAGGCAATAAGAGGAGCATAAAAAGCTTTAGGACAGGGGTTTGGGCCGTAGTTAAAAGGGGGCGTAGAGGATGCGGCCCTCCCCCTGAGTTCAGCAGTGCTTCGTGGATGTAATCATTTTCATTAGCAGGGAGGCCAAAGGAACTGATAATCCAGTTGGATCAAATTGGGTTCAGCAGCCAAATCAAGTCAACAGGCTTTATACAGACCCCCAGATCCAACCCCCTCTTTAGAATGTGTGGTTTCCGTCTTAGTTTTTGTATATTTCCAAGGTATTTGTACTAGTTGTAGTGTTGTTCTTGGCCACCTCTCGTTTTTATAATGGGTGTCTCCGCGGGGTCAGATTGAAACATTGTGAAATTACCAAGTCTAAACATTCCCGCGATCAATATTCAGGAAGGACACGCTTCCCAAATAATAGCCTCGTTTCTACCTTCAAATGAGCCGAGTCGTTCCATTTACTAAACTCCTTGTCCGCAATACAGTAGCCAATCGGCTTCATCTTTCCCCTCAGCCTCATCCGACCTGGGCTCTTCCAGAAGGACTCAGTCGTACTTCATTACAAAAAAAAGCACAGAGTTTAAGTGGAGTGATGTTCATCCATTTTATTTACTGCAGCGTGGTGCCAGACGCTTCATCTGGGCCCATGAGGAATGCGATACCATGCCTCCCTTCATAACTTCATGCACAGCTGTGTGTGTGGAGCTACTGTTCACACTGAATGTTAGAGATAGTTAATACTGATTCATTTTAAAGCCTTAATTCTATAGCCTTAATGCATATCTTGTTATCATTCAATATCTGTGTTCGCCCCTATCAAGGAATCTAAAAGCAGTAATATATTCACCCAATATTAAGATGCATAGATATTGTTGTCCAGCGTGACTGATAGTTCTCATCAACCCTTCACATAAACATGAATTATGTGCCGTGGAAGAGTGTATGGGGAGCTCGCTAGTAACTGTACACACTGATACACGTTACAGAGCATTTTAAAGAGACGTAGCACTTTTCTTTGGAGCCAGTGTGTTTTTTTTTGTTTTTTTATAGAGAGCTCCCTGCAGGATTCTTGTGGGGATAAAGTCCCTAATCAGGGATTTGATAGGCATATTAAGCCCACGGAGATGTTAAACCACTCAAGTGAACACGCTGTTGCAGCTAAAGGCTCCACACCGATCTGATGAGTACAGGGAAGGAGAGAATCTGAGGAGCGTTACGAAACAAACTGGGGTTTCATCGGAAAAAGGTTTTGGATCAGAGTTCTCAATCCATTGCCAACTTTCTCAATACAAAGACATTTCCCGTTGCCAAAATTGGTTGGAGACCAATTTATATTGAAGTGTTTCAGTAACTCAGTAGATTTGTGTCTGTTTGAATCATGACCATGTGCTTTAAAATGAAGAGGCGACTGTCAAAGCTTAGCAATTCTTTTTTTTTTCTTCTGATAAAAAAAAAAAAAAAAAAAAAAAAAAAAGTAGTTTAAATTAGGACAGAAGAGTACCTTATTTATTTTTTCACATAGCTTTATTTATTAATACTAAAGTATAGTTTGAGTTTTTTTGAAAAATGAACTTTTGCTAGCCAAAGCTGCTGTACATTGTAGACTATTTACCATTTCTATCTGCTATATCCTATACAACCTTATTTATTATGTATTGTTGCAAAACCTGTAAATATGTTTCCTAGATGATGAACTGTAACATTTACACTTATTTTGAAAAATAAATGTTTGAACCAAAGTGGCCCGCAGTGATGATACTTAAACCGGCTTCTAGGAGAAATTCCCCCAAGTGCAGTGATGTCATTCAAGATGGTATCCGTTAGTGGGTTTTGACTTCACTCGTACAACTGTGGGTTCATGCACATCTGGTCTGAAGTTGTGCCCCAAATGGGACTTTATCCAAGTTCTCTTAGTTGTTTTAAATCTAATCGTTTCTCCTATGTCAGTAGCACTTGCAGATGTGTTTAGTGGTGGTAGGTTGTTTCTCAGGGAGGCCCTTTAAGAGTTGAGAGCACGCGAAGAGCAAGGACACCTCATCTATCCAACGGGCTAATAAAACACAGAAGAAGACCTGGATAATCCTCAGTGCAGACTGTGCTGTTGTTTTGACTCGTCCGTCAAAGCTCGATCATAAACGGTCAAGGTGAGGAAGCTCCTCCGGAAGGATCAATTAAGTAAACATTTAGGTCAGTTTCTCAGGCCTTGAATACGACAAATACCGCAACACGTAGCCTTCAGACTACGCAACGGTCGTGATATTTGATTTGAGATATATTCACAACTTCTGTCTCCACTGAACAATACCACCATTTATAAGTATGAGTTAGAATAAGGACAAGCATTAGCTTACGAGATAATACTCAAGAAGCAGATCGTTAATCATTGGGCTGCAAATGGCGGCGTGATACTCCCGTGTACGACTAAAACGGACACAAAATCACAGCTCCATGTGGGAAAAGGTCATTTATTACAACTATCCATCACATTGCTAATAACAAATGTAAAATGTTTGCCTTTGTGACACATGATCTTCAGTAAAAAAAACAAAACCCTTTTCTTTTTCACCTTCCAATAGTTCTATTAAGGCGATAAAGTCAGGTAGTCGTCTAGTCAGCGCTGGTCTGAAAAAAGACCCCAAAGCATTGGAGGGCTTTGGGGTGAAATATGGGGAATTACCATTCAACACGGTAAACATGGCGTCTTTGGGTCTGTCGTTTTCCAAAAAGAAAAGCGATGAGTCCGTCAGACTTCAAGCAGTTTCTGCAGGTCCAAGGATGAAAATAGTCTCTGGGAGAGCACTGAGCCAGTGGGCCAGTGCTACATCTGGGTTTTCAGAGAAGGACCTTGTAGTAGTCGTCCTTGTAGCTGTACAAGACCACCACAGCCACCCTGTAAGAGGACAACATCCGTCTGTTACAAGATTAAAACAATGTGCAACAACATTAAAAACATCAGGACAATGGAATTCAGCTGGGAGGGTTTTCAAGATCTTGGATTTTTCTAGATGGGTCGTAATTCTAGTCATCACATATTACAAAAAACAAAATGACACAAAGTGTATTTCCATTATCATTTAGAATAAACAGATTTTAGCCACGCTAGCAGCATCTAATTCATGTTGAGGGGACATTGATGTCATTGCGAGCATGTTGGCTCAAAGCACCACTGTGCCTACATACAGCCTGAAGAGCTGCTAGCCTGGCTGAAGACTTGTTGAAACAGCATTGGAGATACAGGTCGCACATACAGGTGCTGCTCACGGTACCTTTTGGCTGAAAGGAGAAAGCTCAGAGACTTAGAAGCCCTCGGGATTAGATTAGTTTATGATCTTACAGCAGCCAGGTGAATGCATGAGCCCTTTAGCTTACTCATCTGTGCCCCACCGTCGATGAAACCAACTAAACAAACACATAACAACACATGCTGAATATATCCATTGTTGCCTCTGTGACGCTCATTTATCAGAATTTTTTTTTTTTTTCCATACAGTAAATTAAAACCAACTGCTCTGGAGAGGCGGACGGAAAAGCAGAAAGAGAAGCTTTTGATATTTATTTTTTTTCTTTTTCTTTGTTGTTGTTTGTTCCCATCTCATTGATGAATGAGAAAATCCTCTGAATCCCTCACAGGGTTGCTCCATAATGGCACACACGAGCGTCACAACACTACAAGCTCAAACACTGAGGAATTAGCCAGGGCTTTGAAGAAAAAATAACGTTCTGCTGGGAAGCTTGGGAATATTAACCGCTCCGTCCACAACCACAGCAAAGTTAACCCGCAGCCCCTTTTCTGCAATCTTAGAGTCAATCAACTTGGGTGTTAGGAGACAGACGTTAGAAGCCCAAACAAGGCAAAGCCTTCTCCAGATTTCACCTCAGGAAATGGGATCAGCGGAGGATTTGATGTTCTGCAAGGCAGTAGTTATCCGTATCAGCGCTCCCTTTGAAGCGCCGTCTGTCACCGCTACACCTGGAGTGTGGGGGCTTGGTCGGAGCTTTGGAGTGACAGCTGCCCGTAAAAGGAAGTCTGCCTTTTGAAAGTGGTCTTTAATGTATTCTACCGTTTACCTCAGGTTTCATTTGAATAAAAGTAACGAGTCAGTAGTGGATGGAAACCAGCGGGGTGAGCAGAGAGGTAAGGCGGAGGGGTCTCCGGCTCATCTTTCACGACGGCTCCCGCTGAGACGATGCCTCTGCAACTGTTTGTTCGGAAAATGTCTAAACGGTGTCAAGTTCTTGCTGCTTCTTTTGAGGAGGAAAACATTTTTACACTAAAGACAAGGCAGCGCTCCTGAAAGCTTTGACAGTGTTTTACAAACGATTAGATTCTTGTCCCTTCTCTTAGGGAACAGTTTCTAATTACCAAATGTAATAAGTGTCGTTAACTTAATCAAATAATTCAAAGTATGTTGTCTGTCGGTAGTACCACCACTTTGACCCTGTTGCCAATATCTCAACACCAACTGGATGGATTGCCGTGATTCCCAACCTCGCCACTAGAACCATCAGCAGGGTAACATTTTGGGTTTTTCGTCATTTGTCTCAAGAACTATTGGTGAGATAAGATTGCAATGAAATGTGGTTCAGATATATATGATGCCCAGAGTACAATCCCTAATATTATCCCAATAATTCTCACTTATCTCTACATCTACTAGATGGATTGGCACAAACCTTTGTAGACATTCATGGTCCCCAGAGAATGAATCCTACCGACTTCAGTGTTCCCAGACTCTTTAGACTATTAATGATCTAGCTAGCTAGGCCTGGCAGGAAACATCGCTAGATTTTACTTTGATGATAACGACACACGTTATCAACAGTACAGGAACACACAAACATGGCAAAATAAGCAACTCACTTTTTCGTAATCTTGAAATGGTGGATCTCCTCGCAGATGGACTTCAGGTAGCGCTGCTTGGGGAGATGATTCAGCAAAGTCTTCACACTGTTTTTGAACTGCTCTTCGCTGTCAAACTGGAAGGAGATAAAGAAAAAGAGCCGCAGTTAATGCAACAACATAAGAAAGAGTGACAGCTAGGTGACAACATGGTACATGCAACACAGAGACCAGTGACATCAAACAAAGCAGATTTCAGAACAGTTTGACTCCGTTTAAAGTTGGAGACGCCTCACAGGGCGTCAGTCTCTTCAGGTTCATGCCAACAGAAAAGTAGACGACATCTTGGAGGAATAAACGGGGGTTTTTCATCTGCAACCTTGGAGTATATTTGTGCATGTCAAGTGTAGTGGTGCAGTGAAGGCACAAAGCTTCAGTGGGTTTACAGATTCCTCGGCTCTTTGTGCGACGCGGGGTAATTTTGCCATAATTAAAACAGGCCTTTCCTGCAGGCCTGGCAATAAGCACTGTGTACCGTCGTGTGTTTTTTCTGACACATGCTGAAGGGGGCCAGCTGTATAAGTGGCGTATTCATTTATGGTAGTGGCTTTTGCTTATATAACAGTGCCGTTCAGCTTTCTTCATGTTTCTTAGCACAGTATAATTTGTCTTTTATCTAACCTCTGCTCCGAGGAACCAGAGGTTTTATGAGAGCAGCCTTTAGTCACACCTCTAAAGTATGCCTTTTGTTAACTAAGGGCTGGGGTGTTCCCTCACTCCTCATCAGTACTGCAAGGAAGGAGACGGGATTCCGTCTTCCTGTCTAGGATATTGACCTCTACTGGTCTTTCTTTCCACTTCCCTCCCACCTCTCATTAAAGATGTGGCCTTTTATTAACTCTGCAACGGTCTCGATGAAGCCAGTAAGGAACCAACCTCCAGAGACAGGAAGTTCACCAGCGTTTCCTTCTGCAGGTCCACCTGTGGGATACAACACAAGCAGAGTTACACAACAACACAACGGAGCCTCATCTCATGTTGCAACAATTCCACAATTGTATTCATAATCGAGCTAAAAATATCAACCGTTGCTCCCGCTGCCCAAACGCTTGTGTAATTCTGTCAAAACAAGATAATCCATTCCACTCTTACAGAAAATAACTGATAATTCCACTTTCACAATGCTCTCACCAGGCCTGAAAGCACTCCGAGTCCCTTTTACGGGAAGAGCCTAATGGCCTCCTGGGTTGATCATTGGAAAATGAGTTCTGCTCCAGTCTGACTGATGGACAAGCAGGCCACTCACATGCAACGACGAAGACTCACAGGCCAATGCGACTGCTTACCCAAATCAAGGTGATTGTGTTTCAATAACTTGTATTTACTGTTGCGTCGCTGATGCAATCCAGACCCCAACAGGGATGACAAATGTATTTGGAATATGCGGCGACGTGGTGAATAAGACACTCCGGGATGATTTACTTTGAGAATATCTGGCCATAAATCTTCCAACGCAACCACAAATAAACACAATATGGCAGCCATTTACATCCCCCAAAATGACACGGTGACTGCCTTCTGTTTAGTGTTCATTGTTCTGTAGCGCCTGTAAAGGATTCGCAGCCCTCTTACCCTCCAGCAGGGGATT